TTTGCAGTGCAGACCTTCACCAGCACAGAGGTTCACACAGAGCTTGTTCTGGTCTCCAGAATGTAAACTTCATGTCACCATTACTCTGAATACCCCACAAACAGCCTCCTTTGTTCTCAGGATATGTGCTGAATGGAAAAAGGTTTACTTTAGGGTATGTCATCCATTAAGTTCAGTCTTTCACTCACCGAAGTGCTAAGTGAAAGGCTTGGGAAGATCTCCAAAGGAAAATGCAGAAAAGTCAAGGTACCTGCGATTGCAAGCATCTGAGGCCCTTTTTCATCGTCAGAGTGTAACAGCTCAGATAGTCCCAGGAAGGAGCAGGCCCCAGGAGATGCTTAAAAATTCACTGGTAAAATGATTGAAGTTTGTTTTGACGATTTTCGAAGACAGGATCTCATTCTGCAGCTTAAGCAAGTATACAATGTGTAGTAATCCTCTTGTCTCTGATAATAAGATTGCAGGTATGGATCATCATTCCAGACTTGTTGTTTATTTAAAAAAGGAATCAGACTAAGAGCAGAGAAGGCTTGATATTTAGAATTTATTTAAAATTATGGAGACACTTTGCTACAGAGTGTAATAATAAAGTTTAATTTGATAATTCCAAGGATTAGCTGAGATGTCTCTGTTTGTGTCCAGGCTTCATATACACAGGACAGTAAGTAAGATCATGGCTTGGACAAAATACTTACCGAATTAGGTTGAAACATGAGAATAAGGACCTGATAAAGGCAGTCAATTTGGTGCCAACATTAAATAAAAACTCATAAGAAAATACTTTGTTTTGAGTCAAATACAAATGGCCATGCCCTAAGAGCACACAAATTCATGTTGGCCTGAACAACCTTGTTTCTCAATAGGAGTTACAGAAAGCTTTTATAGTTATAAAAGTAAGCTGATGGGGGCTCGAGGATGGAGCCCAGTTGGTAGCATGCGTGAAACTGTGTTCAAAAGCAAACAAAAATAAAGCAAAACAAACAAGAAATCAAGTGGAGGAGGAGGATATAGAGGTGAGGAAGTCTCTTCTATGAGAGAAGAGAATCTTTTTCTTTTTTGAGATACCGTTTCACTTATACATTTCTGGCTGTCCTGAACTCACTACATGGACCAAGCTGGCCTTGAACTCACAGAAATCTGCCTCTCTGGTAGAGAATGTTTTATAAGACTTCTTTTATGGAATTTGGATTCAATTAGTTTTCTCAGCTTTAGGGTTGGCATAGGCCAGAGCTCTGTGAGATTTAAACAGTAAAGAGTCTTATTTAGTTATCACAAAATGCTGTTTCAGATGTAGAGGTTGTTAGCACATGACTATAAAGGAGACTAAAAAGCCCAGAGGGGTAGCGTACTCCTGTAACTCCAGTACATAGGTTGGTGATGAAGAGAATGATTTGGAGACCATTCCGGACCCCACACCAAAGAGCAAAGGGCGGTAAGCACTGAGAAGGGGGAGATGGCACAAAATAACTCTTGGCTTTTTTTTTCTTAAATATTTATTATTTTATTTTATGTGTAACGTGTGAGTGCCTGAGTGTATGTCTATGCAGGCCAAAGCCTAGTGAGGTCTGAACAGGCCTTGGATCAGCTGGAATTGGAGTTAGAGGTGGTTAGGAGTGTCACGTAAATGCTGGGAACCAATCTCGGGCCTCTTAAGACCACTAAGTGCTCTTAATCCCTGAGCCATCTCTCCAGTTCCAACTTTGATTTCTTGACCTGCAGCATCCCCTCTTTCTACAGTCTTGAGCCTTTGTCCTTTTTCCTCCAATTAGTCTGCAGGCTCTTGAGTGGCTGCTGAGGGGAACTTTACCCAGCTCACGCTGGTACGGAGTATGTGACTGCCCTGAGCAGGGCTCCACTCTCTCTTGATGTTATCAGTCAGCGTGTGTGGTACTGGGAACCCAACCCACAGTATGCATACGAGGTCAGAATTCTTTCACTAACCAGGATCCCCCAGCCTTGAAATCATTAATAAGTTTTTTGAACAAGAGGTCTTGAGCTTTCATATTGCACTGGATCCTTCAATTATGTAACCAGTCCTGGTCTAAGGAATGACCCTGAGTCTTTGAGACCTGCTTCTAATCCATATTCCACCATTAGCCAGTTGTATTATCTTGGGAAATTTATTTAAACTGCCTCCATTTGTATAATAGGAGCCATAATCAGACTATTTTTAAGACAAAAACAAAGTGTGGAGCAGTTTTCAGTAGGTATTTTTGGTCTTGTCATTAATGACAACAATTTAGAAGAATTTGCAAAGTCCAAGAATAGAGCCGTTTTCAAAATTCATTTTTGCTAACACATTTATGATCTGGATATGTAGACTGACATCACCATCCTGTGGTAAGACAGGAGAAGATAATTTTCTGAATTGCAGGCTTCACTGATACATTTTGTGCTAGAACCGAAGGAGAGTAGGTATAATTTCAAATCTGATTAATCATCAAACATTCCTGCATAGCATATTTCTTATAGACTTAAAAGAGCTGGACTGCAACCAAGATAATGAAGACATTATTTTAGAATATAAAAATATGCCCTTATATAAAGGCATTTTGCTATTAAAAATACTTCCTTGACAGTGCGAGCCAGTCATTTTATTTGCCATGTAATTATTGGCCACAATATTCTTAACCAAAGAAGATACAAATAAAAAAAGTATTGCTAGGCCCATTTTGCTAAGAGTGAATGCTAATTATTACTTCGCCGTGAATAAAACAGTTGGGTTCTTTAGACTTTGGCTTGGACTAAGTTAGGAATGAAAAATGGAGGTAAGGCCAAGTGGGATAATTTTCTTCCATTTTTACTGAATGTGTTAGCTCCTTGCTCATTATTCTTGGGAGGTGTTTGTCAACAACTATTTCTGAAGTTGATACCAAGTTTTTAAAATGTAAAATAGATATTTTAAAAATTCGCTGGGGCTGGGGAAGGGCTTAGCACATTATGCTGATCTTGCAAAGGGCAGAGTTTGCTCCTAGCACCCACTTCAGGTGACTCACAACGTTCTGAATTACCAGCTCCGGAGGATCTGACATCTTCTTCTGTCTTCCTCAGGCACTGTGGGTGCATATACCCACACACAGACACACATCCATAGCATAAATTAGAAAAAAAAAAAAAAAAGAAAAGAAAAGAAAAGAAAAAAATAATTTAAAAATGAGCATGTTGGCATGTGGTATTTTTTTTCCCTGTAATATCCCAGTACTTGGAGGCTGAGGATTGCTGTGAGTTCTAGCCAACCTGAACAGCCTGAGTTATACAGTAAGACCCCATTGAAAAGAACAGTCAAAAAAATTGTAATACCGTATTGTTTTAGCTTTTGCTGTTGTTGCTGCTGCTGTGTTAAAACACTCTTGACCAAAAGGATCTTGGGAAGAAAGGGTTTACTAGGCTTGTATTTTCAGGACACAGTCCATCACTGAGGGAAGTCAGGCCAAGAGCTAACAGCTAGAATTTGAAACAGAAACCATGGAGGAGTGCTGCCTGGTGGCTTTCTTTCTGCTTAGCTAACTGTTTGTTTGTTTCTTAAATATATAGGACCACTTTCTTGAGGAATGGTGCCGCTCCCAAAGGGTTGGACCCTCCTACATCAATTAATAATCAAGACAACATCTCACAGGCCAATCGGACCTAGGCCATTGCTTAATTGAGGCTTCTCTCAGCTGACATTAGGCTGTGTTAAATTGACCATTGACGCTAACCAGGAAAAGTCTGTTTAATATATCAGGATTGTTAGTGGAATCAGCTTGGCTGCAATATTATGGTAAGAAAACCCTCCCTTAAAGAGTTGAGTCATAATTCAGTAAGAAAGCTCTTCAGTGGTTTTAGAGACAGAGTTGATCTGTGTTTTACAACATGAGTTCAAGGCTGGTTCCCTGGGAAAATCAAAGTCATTTTCAAGGCTCCAAGCATTCTAACTTTGGTGGGCCAAGGATATAGCTCAGTGGTATAGCACAGGTTTCCTAAGCCTAAGGTCCTAAGTTAGATTCCCTAGAAACACACACACACACACACACACACACACACACACACACACACTATAGTTAATTCATTAATTAAACTTCACCTTGAGCTTTATATATCATCATTTTTTTTTCAAGACCAGTTTACAATTCTTTTTCTCTAATAACAGCTGTTCATAGAATGAGATGGAATTATGAGCTGTAATCTGACCTAATCCAGAGAGGGGAAGGAGGAAGATTACAAGGTCCAGGCCTGAGCTATCAATGAGTTCAAGGCCAACATGAGACCCTGTATCAAAACAAAACATAAATAGAAGTTTGGGAAAATAGCTCTGTGGTAGAGTGTCATTACTCTGGAGGCAGTGGGGCCTGGGAGAGTGGAGCCAATAAAATCTCATACAATAGCCAACTTTATTCAGAGCCTCAAAAAAATTTATATTCTGAGGGTTATGAAGGGCCACACTAATAATGTTATCCTGAGTTCAAGCTGTGCATAATCACAAGGATGAGCCACACATGGTAAAACCAGTTTTTTCATAGAGGCATAGAAAGGGATAGTTTAAACAGTTAATTGAATAGCAACAGCACGAGATAATGAGTGATCAGAAGTAAACTCAGTCCTATCTGCTACACCTGGGAGCAGCAGAAAACACATCTCTGAAACGGTCTTTTGTTTTGAAGAAACTGAGGCCACAAGGCTCTTGCCTGGTTTTCTTGGAGTGTTCTCACAAGCATTCAGAATTCTCCTCAGATGACTCCATTCCCTGACAAAGTTCTAATATCTCTCCTACCCGCCCCCCCCCTTTTTTAATTTTGTAAACACAAGATATTCAGAGTGGTTTTGAGATATTGTAGATAAATTTAATTATCATTTGAAGCATGATTATGCTGTAAGCAAGCAAACTATAAACATAAAACAGTGAAAACATTGTATGTAATAATACTTTGCCACCGAGAATAGGGCTCTAAACTATGTCCAGTAATATTGGTTACATTATTTATCAGAAAAAAATAGAGAATAGTTTGAAAAAAAGACCCATATAATTATTAGATCTGGTATCCTGTAGAACATAAGCCTATATTTGCTTTTAATAGGAATACAAATGTAATGTCCAGTGTTAATAGGAAGTGATTTAAATACCAACAAAAAATTAAACACACTCCCTTCTCCAGATGAATGAATGAGTCTGTTGTTGTCCCAAGGTCAAATCATAAACACAGAGTCATTAATAAAGGTAACAGGAGTTACCTTTATTGGGTCCGTCCAATCTACAAGTTGAAGCAAAGCCTCCTTTGCTTTAAAAAGAATGTAAGATTAGTGCCCGTGTTCAGAGGCACTCAGCACAGATGCACAGATCAGAGCACCTAACATCACCAAAAAGACATTCTCATGTGACATAGGCTCTGTATATTTCATAGAATAACTTCTCCCTTGGTGCATAGGGCCTTAACTTGACTCCATCTGGGCAGACTTGACTACTTACAATGTAATCAATAGCTCCTTTTGCCCTTTGCGACTCTCCCTATCTCTTTGCCCTCCACCATTGTACCTTGGTGTTCAGGGGCCAGAGAAGCCCAAGAGGAATTCATAATGTTTCAGTAGATCCGTCTGCAATGACAGACACATACAGCTTCCCAATTTTCTTCAGCCAACCAGGCTTCCAGGTCTCAAATTGTTTAAACCACAGTCTTGTCTGAAGGCAGTTCGGAGTGTCCTGTAGAGAAATGTTTATTGTTTGTTTGTTTGTTTTAGCTCTCAAACATAATATATCACCTTGAGGCAAATTTTAAAAATAAAGAATAGCTAAGAAAAGTGCAATCCCCCTTTTTAATTTTTTTTAATAATTGTTTAAATATTCTATGTGATCTTTCAATTATATTCTGGTCTTGAGGATTATAACGAATGCCTGCAATATGATTTATATTCTATTCTTTACAGAAGTTCTTAAATTTTTTACTATTTTAGGCTGGTCCGTGTTCAGTTTTTATCAAAGTAAACACTTACCTAACAGCAAAAGTTTGTATAAGAGAAGAGCATACTACAGAAGCATTCTCGGGGGACTGAGGCACAGACCAAAGACATTTAGAACATGCGTCTATGCAAATGTGCGGGGATGGTGTCTGAGGCACCAGAGCAAAGTGAGTAACATCCATGGACCATAATTCATCAGTATTTTTACCTCTGGGTAAACTCCAGCTATATGACTATGATGGAGTAAGAAAGCACAACTTTTATAGCTTGTCTAAGTGGCATTATACACGAAGTCTATTAGTGTGTGTGTGTATTGATCTTCTTGTCCTGGAGAAGTAGAAACAGAAACAGGGCAGGTTAGTGCATCAGCTTGCTTATTTCCTTATGCAATAAAACCAGAGGGGTTAGAGTGTGCATAAATATTAGTAACGAGCAAATGATGTGTGTGAGCTTTAACTAGGTATGGTAGTTTTTGTAGTAATGGGAGCATAACTGAATAAAACAGTTTCAATTGTTAGAACTAACACTAGAACATATGCAAAATCTGAAACAATATGAATTAACTATAATAGATGATTCAAAACAGCCAGTTCCACTTGTTAGGCTGAAGAGAAAAAAAAAAAAAGTATTCATAGATTGATGACTGTTTGGACATGAATCCCTACTATACCCTTAAATGAACCATCAATAAAATAAGTATCTGCCTGTGAAATGGGAGAAAGCTGGACAACTTTTGTAATCACAAATTCAGTTTTATGAGAAAAATCCCGTAGTTTAATTAGTTGGATAATGAATTTCTATCCATAGTAATTTGCAAATGAAATCTGGAAATCCTTAAAGTTTTGAAACAATCTTAAAAACTGACTGTCAAATAATTGTAATATAATACAGGAGGGATCAAATCCATATAATTGTTAACACCAGGTCCTCTCCTAATTTCTAATTGAGCAAGAAGAGTAAGGTAAGCAATTAGTATTTTATGGCGCTTATGGTATAAATAAATCCATCCAAAAGTTAATCCTCTTATGCTATCATATCTGTAGGAAACCATTTTAGTGGGAAAAATAAGTAAGTTTAAGGAGTCACAGGATACACAAATGACACTTTTGGTCTGGATTCAAATACCTTTAGTTCTTTTCTTGTTTTTCGAGGTAATATTCAAGGACTATCCAATGCGGTCTCCTCTTCGAGAGTTTTAAATTGATTGGTTAGTGCATAAGTAATTTCTAAAGTTGGCTATGGCCGATTAATATCCCATAATAATTTCTAAAAGTCATTAAGCATTTTTAAGTTTTTTTTTTCTAATGGGCTTTTTTGTGGTTCAAACGTTTTGATTTTGTTGGAATTCTACTGGAAATAACAAGCGCAGCTCATAAGGCCAGGAGGAAGGAGTCCTCTTCTCTGCAGTGCCCTCGCTAGCCTACATTGTAAAGCCAGCATTTTCATAGGCTCTCCTAAGTCTTCATGTGGAGAGAATTAAAGATTAGATTGATTATCAAGTTCCTCACTCCATGCTTTGGGATAATCTTCAGGCAATGGAGATATGTAACTAAAGGAGACAGCTAAGGGAGTCATAGTTGGTGGTGGTCATGTTTTTACTTTTGGTTTTGCCTGAACAGGGAAAAATCTTTTTTTTTTTTTTTTTTTTTTTTGTCTCGTTTACCAATTTTAATGTTTCATCATCCAGTTTATGTGCATTCTAGGAATTAGCCATCTTTTCCTCACGAACAATATTCTCCTAGTCTTTCCTTTCTTGATACCTTTTTTTCTCACTCCAAGCCCTGTTTAACCACCTGGTTGCTCTCCCAAGCTGTGTGGCTAAGCATGCAATGGTCAGAGCCAGACGGGAACCGTTACTGCTATGCACACCTGCTCCTGCCAGGGACGGCCTCAGACCAAGTCTCAAATTTGACCACTGCTGAGGTATGTGTGAATCATTTATCTGTAAATTTGATCCCAAATTCCTGATTAAGAGTCCAATTCCTCCACATGGTTCTCAGTCTTGACCTGGCCACTGGAACCTACTTACTCCTCCTGCAGCTGGTCTGCAAGTTCACGCTTTCCCTCCCTACCCCTCCTTCAACGAACTAGCTCTCTGTTACAGGAGCCTGGCTACATTCAAAGCTTAAAAGTCGGTGTACCAAATTTCCAAAGTCTTACCACCATAATAATTATAGGGCTAATAATAAGCATTATTAGACCATACCATTACATTAACAGCGACTTATTGGAGCCCAACTAATTTAATGTGTTCACACCCTTTAAAATTATATATTTTTTTCCATAGTTTGGCAGGGGAATAAGCTTCCAGAGATACAACCCAAGCTTCAAACCTGCTGCGGACCGACAGGAGACAAACTGAATGGACTTAGCAGAGCAGAGCTGGCTAATGCAATCACAGCTGCCTCCGCCTCTAACGGATCCTGCCACACCTGCCCAGGAAACACCAGCTGTTTTCCACGCTTCAGCTATTGGGAAGGTGGAGGGGAGGAACGGTTCCTTAGCAAGGGTGCTCCGTCCTTCTCCCTCCCCCCAAATCTTTCGCGGTTTGAAAGGCATGCACACATGCCTTAGTTAACACACATTCATTCATCCATGGGTCAGGGCATTTCACAGGGGCTGCTCCAGGCTGCTGCTTGAGGCTCATCTCTCACAGAGCAATGGAGGCTGCAGAGGCATGGTGGGTTAGAGATGGAACTGGCAGGCCGGCAGCCTTCTGGACTGAGCTGGGGAACTGAATTAACCACATTGATTAAAAAATAAAGACTGCTATGGTCTTTCTCCAAGATGCCACGGCAGAGGGCTCTTGGACCTTTGATGTCTTTGTTCTTTTTTGTTGTTGTCATTGTTATGTTGTGCAAGCAATTCAGTTGACCTTCCCTTAGCTGTCTTTAGGGTCCTGACAATGTTCTGTGTCAGTGCCTGATCCCATGACATCATTTGGGCCAGGTACATTGTTACCTGTCGGCCGCTCCCCCTCTCTCTTACTCTTGGTCTCTTCCCCTCTCCTGCTCTCTCCCCTCTCTCTGTTGGGGCACCTTCTCCCCCCACCAGGTCTCTTTCTTCTTTCCCCTCTTTCTCTCCGTCTCCATCTAATAAACCCCATTGGGTTTAAGATCGGTTGTGTGCATGGCATTTTAGAATAAATGCTAACATTTGGTGCCGAAACCTGGGAGTGCTCTTCTAGTAACGTTTAGACAAGCTAGAATCCCTCTTCACATGGCCGCCCACAACAAATCTTTCTTTTGCACCCTCATCTCTTGCTCCTTTCATGATCACTTAACCTGCCCCTGCAGCTGCTACACGCATCTGTCACGCTTCTGGCGGCTGCTCAGACGGGCTCAGACGGGTGTGCAGCCCACAACAGAACCTTTTCTTGCTGATACCCTCATCAGCTCTGGGCTTTTACGATTGCTCACTAGCTCTGGACTTCACTGTTAGGTAAGCCAGGCCTCGGGACCGGCTGCACAGCACTGAGGGTTTTACAACTGCCCTCAAACAGCTTACATTTTTTCCAAGTTTAGAACTGCTGCCAGTCGGGGACTGCCATGCTGTCAGCAAGGCCCTGGATCCTGCAATCTCAGTTGTTGGTCTGCCATGTTGATTTTGGGATAAAGAGGGTAGAGCCACAGCTTCACTGCCATCTCCACTAAGGGCAATCACATGGTTTCACAGCCATCTTAACTTCAGGCAATCAAGGGCAGTCACATGATTGGCAGCCATCTGCTTATAAAAAAAAAAAAAAGATGTGCTCCCTACCCCTCTGCCTTACTGCTGAGAAAGCCCTGGTACCAGGCACCAAGGTTCTCTGTCTTACCCAGGCTAAGCCCTTGACCTGCTGTGCTATTTGGTTGACAAATCGCTAGCCATATGGTCCATTTCCATTTCCCCTTTCTCATTTGCAGGAATGGCTTCCTCATGTTCTCTCCTCTTTGGGAAACCTCTGGTCTCTACACTTGTATTTGTCCTACTCAAATTTCTAATATCCAGTAACACTATGAGCAATCAGTGACATAAAGAGTGATTCCCTATTTCTCTTTTTTCAAAGTCCTGTCTGTTTCTCTCTGCCTGCTATCCCCCTAAATAAAAATACTCTCTGGTTTCTTTTTATACTCTCAAAAATAATCTTAAGATTAAACTGTAAACCTTAAGGTGACCACAGGGTATGAACTATTTTAATCATGATTAATTCTCTGTTTATTTTATCTCCTTTTAGACTAAGACAGCAACAAGTCTCATTTTAAATGGGTATGGATTTTTAAATTCAAAGTTTTTACAATGTGCTACATGCATAATCCAACCTGGTTCAAAATAATTTTTATGTGATGCTGACATTTCAAGGTTATAGAGATCTATTCAAATTAAGCTAATTTATACATAATACGTAATTTAAAATGTCTGTCTAACTGCCTATGTCTTTATCAATTCCTAAATTAATAAATAAATGCTGTTTCTCTCATCACAAGCTGCCTGTGATCTGGATTCACCACTAGGCTTTCTGGCTAATAGATTTGGCATAATAAATTCAAATGTAACTTTAAATTGTTTTATACTGTTCTATATTCATAACTTGGGGGTTACTAAGTAAAAGTTTTTTCCTAGATACTTTTAAACTATATGATATAATTCCAAGGATACTCTAAATTAAGCTCTATTAATTTTAGAGGCATTTATTTATTTTAAAACTTAGCCATTGTGCTGTATCTTCACTATCAAGGTTAAAATATGCTTTGTCTTGTTTTC